GAGTTGCGCAGGGGCCAAAGCTGCCCCGAACTCTGCAGCAACGCCTGGAGAGGACATGCAAGTCTCTTGGGTCCTGCGAAGCTTCGGTGTGTAGGGTTTAGGGTTTTAGGGTTTAGAGTTTAGAGTTTAGGGCTTGGGGTTTAGGGTTTAGGGTTTAGGGTTTAAGGTTTAGGGCTTAGGGCTTTGGGTTTAGGGTTTAGGGTTTCGAGTTTAGGGTTTAGGAGTTTAGGGTTCAGGGTTGGAGGTTTAGGGTTTAGGGTTGAGGGTTTAGGGTTTCGGGTTTGGGGTTTAGGGTTTCGAGTTTAGGGTTGGAGGTTTCGGGTCTAGAGTTTACAGTTTAGGGTTTCGAGTTTAGGGTTGGAGGTTTCTGGTTTAGATTGTAGCACGTCCAGTTCGAGCATGCGTAGTTCAGTCGCTATGTCTTCCCACCTTCGCTGTGGATCCCATAGACACGCTAAACTCTAAACCCCAAGCCTTTTTGGATCCCATAAACATGAGACTCACATTGTAGTTTGCCGCATCTTCAACTTAAAGGTGTGTGCAGTTGTTGAAGCTTACATACATAAGCTGTCTCTGGCTTTGACGCAAACATCACCATTCTAACACGAAGGTTAAACGCTTTGTGGATATCACGGGATAACATGTTTGATATCTCTAGCTCATTTGGGTCAGTCTGTTGAAGTACTCTCATACACCAGGCCGCCATACACAGAATCGCAGCCGCTTCGCAACACCACAGTCATCGCGACTGAAATGCTTCACCGTCCACGAATTGGGGCATCAGGAATCCAACTTGTTTCCTCGGTTACCTCACATGGCCTACGCCCCAAGGCCCCAGCTGACATGATGCTCGGTCGTTGTTTGTGCTGGAACCCGGCTGATGTTCATGATGTCCTTCATGTTCCCAGAGCAGATTCACGGGGCCTGCCACCTGTCAAACCTTTGCTAAACTGCAGCACCCGCAAAGCACCTTCCCAGGCCAAACCCTCAACCTGGCTCGGCTTAGGGTTTAGGGTTTAGGGTTTAGGGTTTAGGGTTTAGGGTTTAGGGTTTAGGGTTTAGGGTTTAGGGAGGGCTCCATTCCCATGCCCAAGAGTAAAACGCTAATGCACACGAACCGGATGCGTCAATGCCCACAGAGGCCATTGATGTGTAGGCCCTTCGTGGGCAGTGGCAGTGTTTTTGCCAATGCCCACGAAGGCCATCGGGCTTGACATTCATATTGCAAGGGTTTAGGGTTTAGGCCTTAGAGTATAGGGTGTCCCCTAAACCCTAAACCCTAAACCCTAAACCCTAAACCCTAAACCCTAAGACCCTAAGACCCTATATGCCGCTCTTTAGGACTTGTCGGTGTCGGGTTCAAAGGTCTGGACCTTTTAGAGCTCAGGCTTTAAGTTTTGGTCGGTTGCAGTTGTACATATATGACATATATATATATATATATACACACCTACATTCATCTACACACACACATATACAAACGTATACATACATACATACATACATACATACATACATACATACATACATACATGCATACATACATACATACATACATACATACATATATACATATCTATATCTATCTATCTATATCT